GTGTTGTGCCTGAACATATTTACGTTCATATTTAGGTCTGCTGCTCACTCGGCTGGAAAATGACACTGGCGGCAGCGTGCGTCAAACACGTGCTCCACGACAACACTAGGCTGCCCACAGATGTGCCTGCCTAATAATCGGCTTGATATACTTTCCCAGATAGCAAACTGACATTGAATCAACGTGGAAATATGACATCGAAACAACGTTGATCTAACATTGTTTTGCTCATCGAATTAACGTTGAACCAACGTCAGACGCGTCATTCTTTCAAAACTAACGGAAAATCAACTTGAAATCAACGCGTTGTTTCAACGTTATGAAAGCAAACCAATTTTCGATTTTCATTTAGCTTTGAAGAATGCCGCGTCTGACGTTGGTTCAACGTTTATTCGATGAGCAAAATCAACGTTGTTTCAATGTCATGAGAGACGTCGTTTCCACGTTGATTCAATGTCAGTTTGCTGTCTGGGTTGATATTGGCCGATGCCGATTATGTAAAAAAATGCCAAATCCGACCGACCGATTAATCGGTCTACATATCGAAGCTTATAAGCTTCCTGTGGATTCCAATAGGACTGCATGGATAAACTTTATTTTTAATGACGTTCCAGCTGATGAGGGTAAAACATCGTCGTCTGTTCGCTTCATTTCACTGGATTGTTTTGTAAACAAGACTGGATTTGCAGACCGATTAACAGTAAAGAACGGTGCTGTGCCGTCTATATTGGACCTGACAGGAATTGTGCAACACACGGACTCTGGGTCGAACATGTATGGGCGAATCCGGTTGCCATTTGACAACATTGGACGTTTTCCCCCCACGTACACCGACGGGTGAGTTGAAACTCATTATAATATGCAAAACTGTTATCCACTCACAGCAGTGGGCGTTTACTTCCAAGTCTTCAGTGCGACACGCCCATAAAAACCAACCGTTTTTCAGGAAGGCTCACAACTAGGGTACAAAATAGTCTATTACTTATTCATTTTGATGTTTTTGAACGCAAAAACCAAGCGAACGTCATAAATTGACCTTAGACAACAATATAATAAAATTTAAAAAGCCAGTTCATGACCCCTTTAAATCAGAGCATAAAGGGACCCAAACGCAACAATCGCACCTTTCTCTCACCGGTCAAGCCGAACTGGAGCGGCGTGACCTCAGTGGAGGCTCAAGAGCGTCTCCTGGGCGCTGTTTGGCCTCAACACATCAGGCAAGACCAGAGTCAGACTAACATCAGCTCTTCACACAACTTCCTCTCCATAAACTATTAAAAGCCATTAAGACTTTCATCTGAGACTGCATCTACGAGCGCGACGCCCGAGGCACTGCAGCACTTTCTTTGCTCTTTGTGTTTGTATTGAGATTAACGATTTCCTGACGTGTATGTTCAGAACGATATGTGCATGTGCTCTCACACTAGATATGATAGACATGTTTCATATGTAGCTATTAGAGCCCGACCGATAAAGGATTTTGAAGGCCGATACCGATACAATAATTTTTGGGTTTTAAAATACGATATTCAGATATATCGGCCGATTTTTTTTTTTTTTTTTTATTAAATATTGTTGGATTTCACACACGTCACGTGTAAAAGAAAAGCGAACTTTTCTGCACAAGATACGTTTGATAGTTTTTCTCTATGTCTAAATGTTTACTCCTCGCAAGTATAACTTACATTTTACAATGCAGGGACTGTAACTAGAGATATGCTAGTTATAAATACAGTAATCATTACTTTATTCAGGCAGAAAAAGTTCATTGTGGTTTCCAAGCTCATTAAAGTTAACGTTAGCGGTCTTCCACTGATGATAGTGGCATTAGCTAGCTTTGTGGTTAGCTAGTCTATGATGAGCAATAGATAACATCATACTGCAAGTTGTAAAACATACATTTTCAATATAACAGGCCAAGGAGAGATGATTGAAGTGCGTTTCATCCATTTTTATTTTATTTTTTAAATATTCATTTATCGGCCATTATAACCACCGATACCGATATTATGGAAAATGCCTAATATCGGCCGATATATCGGTCTGGCTCTAGTAGCTATGTCTGGTGGGGAGAAAATAAAAATAGATTTTATCATCTGACTGTATCTGCTCCTTGCATCGTATCGCATTTTTCTTCAATATCGTGCAGCCCTAATCGAGGGAACAGACACAAAGAGGCCTCTCGAGAGCCTTTTGATGCCTAATATCACAAATCCCAGATAGCAAACTGACATTGAATCAACGTGGAAATATGACATCGAAACAACGTTGATCTGACATTGTTTTGCTCATCGAATTAACGTTGAACCAACGTCAGACGCGTCATTCTTTCAAAACTAACGGAAAATCAACTTGAAATCAACGTTGTTTCAACGTTATGAAAGCAAACCAATTTTCGATTTTCATTTAGCTTTGAAGAATGCCGCGTCTGACGTTGGTTCAACGTTAATTCGATGAGCAAAATCAACGTTGATTCGATGTCATGAGAGACGTCGTTTCCACGTTGATTCAATGTCAGTTTGCTGTCTGGGATGGGACTTCACAGGTGCGCATTCGTCAAGGCGGGCATCCCTTCCTTCGGCTCACGATGCTGGGATAGGCTCCCTCCACCCTACTAGGACAAGCGTTTTGAAGGACCAAGGTCTTCAGATGTACATTAACACCAAGACCTGTATAGAAGTGTATAGAACCTATGTACAATTATAATATAATGACTTCTAGACCCTACACTGTTAGACCTTACCAGGTTTTTTTACAGTAAAATACTGGCAACACTGTTGCCAGTTATTTACTGTAGAAATGCACTAAAACTCGAGGTAACTAAAAAAATAATAAAACTTATTAGCTTTAGTGCATTTTTACAGTAAATAACTGGCAACAGTGTTGCCAGTTATTTACTGCAAAAATGGACTAAAACTCGAGTTAACTAATTTCACTTGCAGAAACCAACTTAAAAGAATCAACTAAATTTATAATGCATTAATAATGTGAGCAAGGTATTATTGTGAACTTATTTAATTAGAAACAACAAAAATTAACTTTTGTAAATAAAGACATTTCCACCGGATTCTGCAACTAACACAGACAGAGCCTTTTAAATAAAGCAACATGCAGCGTATCATCAATGTTTGTAGATCTTCTCCTGGACTGAAGCTCAGGCTCTACTTTTCAGCACAACGGTGACCCCAAAAACAAGATTTTACAGTAAACTACTGGCAACAGTGTTGCCAGTATAAACCTGTTTTATAACTTACAGTTTATTACTGTTAAAATACATTTTGTGGGAGTGTCTTTTTATCTTACACTGTTAACCCTTTCAACCCCACAGGAAAATCCACACTACAAAGAGTAAAAATTAACATTGATGCAGTGTTGCAGTGAGATAATTAAGGGAATATGTAAGTGATTGTTGAGCATTAGTGATGAACACCTGCTGTTAACAAGCAGAATCACTGAAGGAAAGAGGAACATCAAGAACAGAAAATAGAGAAACACAAGAACTACAACTGACTTCAGCCATTACACATTATTACACTTATTATTAACCAGTATGGCTTTATTTCTGTCATACATCTATAGAAGATGTTGTTGAGATGTTTAATTAAAAATGTTTGGCTTGAAGTTACCATCATAGAGATCAGTGTTTGCTTTAGTTGGTCTGCTGACGCTGTAACATGAGATTTTATTTAGACGCTGTGTTTAAGCAAGTCACACTTGTGCAGACATACAGTTTAGTAATGATTTGATTTGTCAAAATATGGCAATCATCATATGGTCTGTTCATTTACTAAATAATTCATTTTCACTCATTCAGAGTTTCAATCTGAATCTCAACCAAAAATGTTACATTACCACCACCGTAAAACCACAGCAATTAATTACGACTATTTGTTTTTAACATATCATACATAAACCAAAAACAGCGTTACAGCGTTGTTGAAACACCAAGATATCAAAATTTAGCACATTAATCTCAGTAATGGTGGCAATTTCTTTTTTATTCATGCAGCAGTGCATGCTGGGAGTTTTATACAATCCTGGAACCCAGCATGCACTGCTGTATGAAACTTTTGAATGTTACCGTTGTTGAGATGAATATTATAATTGTTGATGTCTGTGTGTGTCTGACTTTAGCAGGATATTATTTAAATGTTTTATGTGATTACAATAGTATTCAGAAGACATGATTAACCAACATATTGATTTCATGTTGTAGATTCTCAGATTTATTTTATAATCATAACTTAATGTAAGTTTCATATTAAGTACCCATTTATTCTAAGAGTATAAACCAGAAAGAACTGAAAATCAGACATATCCAGAATGATCATGACATCATCACAAAAGCCAAAAACACCAGATCACTTTCCACTTGACTTTTTCTTGCTACAACAAATGTGTTTTAAAACTCACTGTTACAGCAGTCAGAGAAAGATAAATGTCACAAGTCCAGGGATAAGAGACCTACTAAAGCAAATACTAATCTCCATTATGGTGACAAAAAACTTTATTATTAATTAAATCTCTGTTAATTCTCAACAAGAACTTTTGTACATGTATGAAATAAATAATGTTAAACTGGTTTGTAAACTGTTTTCACACTCAGTGTTGCTGGAAGTCAGTTGTAGATCTTGTGTTTCTCTTTTTCAGTTCTTGTTTCTCTGTCCTTCAGTGATTCTGCTTATCAGGTGTTCATCAGTGTCTCAATTCACTCACTTCTTTTCATTCTAGTGGACTATATTAGTGAACTAATGTAGGGAATAGTGAATGAGGGTATAGGGTGTGATTAGGAACACAGTCTCTGAGTGTTGACTTTGAGAGCTGTTAATTCACAGTATATTCCTGTAGGCTAGTTTTGTTTTCTACGGTATATAACTGTTTTAATGGAAAATGGTATGATAGTGTCAGAATTTGGCCTGTTGCCAGTATTTTACTGTAATAAACCTGGTAAGGTCTAACAGTGTACTATAGAACTAAGATTACTAACGCATCACACTGACCTTGGTAACGGCTACCTTGGCCCCTTTGTTGATGAGCTGAACCACATGCTCCGCTTGGCCCTTGTGCGAGGCTATGAGGAGACGCTCAGAGAGAGCTCGCACAGATGATGATGCATCCTGCTGGGTCATGAATTAGGGAAAGACTCGGGGAGGGGGAGGTCTGGGGATCAGGAACAGGAACGAGTCCCTCTGCCGTGGGATGAGAGGAGAGAGGAACCATAGATGTCCAGCTCCTGGAGGGATCTAACCCTCATGTCCTTTGGAGAAAGCCTGCAGGGAAACAGGAAACGGTTCCACCGTCACAAAAGCAGAAATATTTTTCCAGAGTAAGAGCGGATGTGACCTGCAGGCAATGTGAAACATTCAGTTGTCAGCATAATATCAGCAGATCAGAAATGGTCTCATTGGTTTTCTTTAGTTATTAATGTATTTAGTAACATGACCTGACAGAGAGTCATTTTATTTTTACAACATTTATTAATCTTTGTTAAATTCTATTTTATAAAAAATAAAAAAAAATGATTAAAAAAAAGAGGAAATGTTGAATTAACATTAAGATAAATACTATAGAGTTTATTCGTGTTAACTAATATCATTTGTAACATCCCAGATAGCACAAGTCTATTTGATTGACGTAATTTTAAGAGTGTTTGCTCATCTGCAAGACGTCTATAGGACGTCTCCTGTCAGATGTCAAATAGACGTTTAGAAGATGTCAGTTTAACATGCATTCTAAATCATTGCATCTTCGAGACGTCTTCTAAACGTCTATTTGACATCTGACAGGAAACAAACACTCTTAAAATTACGTCTTCCAGATGTAAACATCACCTCAAATAGATCTGGGATCGAATATAATCGCCCCACACGAGTACTACATGTATGCAGATAACGTTGGACATACTAGACATTTTGCAGCCAAATAAAAAAGTCATCTATCTTCAGAAGGATGTGAAGCATGAGCTTTGACAGACTGAATTCACGCTGACACTGATTATTTACACCTGGTTTTGGCAAAGACTTGAGAAATGTCATTTGATCATGTTGTGTTTGACTCACTTGCACATGTTTGCTGTGTGCATGAAGTCTCTCGACACTTTCGCTTGATTTACGCGGGTAACGCCTCAATGACAACAGTTATACAACTTCAACATATTGTTCAACTGATAGAATCGTGTGCAAATAAATAAATACAATTGAAATACAGATTAAGGAATGAATTCCTAGAAATTAACTAAACAACGTGCAATGGATTTCGAAACAATGCGGTAAAAGTGGAACGAAACAATGTTAACTTACATAGCAGACGCGATTCCTCACTGGCCGGTCTCAGTCTCGCGATCACTAAACAACACTGAGATCCAGCGCCTGGTTTCAGCGAAGAACTCAAATATGTCTGGGTTTTAAGCTAGTTTAACCCTCAGGTGCTCTTCGGTCATTTCTGACTGTTTTGAAATGTTAAAAATTACGGCTTCATCGCAATGTTACGAAACTTTGTGACTTTTATGGCATTATGTATGTGAACACACAAAAAAATTGAGGTCATGATCTGAGCATGCTAAGTGGTCTTAAAAAAATAGTCACACTTGTGGTCTATTAAACAATAGATAGACAATTAAACAAAAGATACACATTATACAGGCCTACACAGTGCTTTAATTTCAGGAAGGTCAACTAACATTATTCAGGTATGGTCTAAAAAGAATTATAATAAAGTAAAGTTTATCATAGATTTATGCTTATTAAAGCTGAAGTTATTCATTCAAGAGCTGTGAGTGATTTTTCTCTCTGCCTTTTGTTGTTTGATTCTCAGTAATGTCGCAATCGTCACATGTTTATTAGACTGCTCCCCCTTTAAGAACGAGTGCAGATCTAATAGTCTACTGATGCTCCATATTTTCTCCCAACTATTTCCACAACTACGTTCATTTTAGACATAAACGGTTTAAGTGTTAATCTCCAAGCTGGTGGTTTTTACATTTTTGTGCAGGCTACATTTTGATCGTTTAGACTCGCATATGAAGCCCAGAGTATAATTTGCTTGTCTCGTTGCGGTCTGTTTCGGTGCGCGCGCCTGAAAAGCTTGTGGTCGTTGTGGTTTCTCCTTTGGTCGCACACATGGAGGAGTAAGTAAAAAAAGTTCTGTTGAAAACTGCGCTATGCAAAGTTGTTGAGTTACTGCGTTGCTCTGATTGGTTGTAGGTTTACCGACTATCCAATTGCAACATGACATCATGACTTTTGCGTAAACATACACGCCACTTTCGAGTCAAGTGGCGTGTTATCTCTACGCATTTTGAGCTATCCGCGTGTATGCGTATGTCTACGCCATTAACGTCCGAGTGATTCCGCAGTGACGGGTAGGTTTAGGGACGGGGTTGAGGTATGTCATATATTTATATTTACAGTAATAACGTTAAGTTAACGGCGTTCATAAACACGCTAAAAAGTGATTATGCGTCTTGATAGCACGCCAAAAATGGAAATACGAATTGGCGTGTCAGACACACGCTACTTCATGAGATCAGTCTGCCAATTGAGTGCAGAGGGTTTTTTTCCCCTGGTTCGGTTAAGACACGCCTCATAATCAAAGCCCTACGGAGCAGATTCAGACTCATATTCTCTCTAGAATATGAGTATGACGAAGTCAGGAAGTCAACAAATAATGGTCAGGCTTCTACAAATTTTACTTAGGAGCAAAAATGTGCCTTTTTAGACTTGAAAGAAATAAAGATTTAACATTTATCGCGATACTTCTTGATATCGACTGATTTTACAGATTAAATTAGTATCGACAATTAATCGACCGTTGATTAATCATTGGTATCCCAAGACACAGTATGCAGCGTTAACACTAATTCCTTAGCAACTGTTTCCACAGGATACAAACCTGATTAAATAAGTGCTTTGAAATGTACAAAGCTACAGTCTAAACCCCCAGTGCTTCAAGTCAAAAATGTCAAAGTCAGTAGAGAGATTTATGACGTATATTGATGACCACTGAAAGAGCCACAGATGCACTATGGTAATAATTCAAAGGAGAGCTGACATGAGCAAGTGTAGACAGATCCTCAGCACCACAGCCACACTTGCTCCTACACACATCTGTGTGTTTGACGGGTTCCCGGGACAAGGACTTGTCATGTTATATAGGAGGACTTCTCATGTTATATACAGTCCCAGACAATAGCAAACCCCAAACAATGGCCTGTTCACATTCACAACCTAAAACATTACTCATAGACATACCTGATACATGGCTCATAGATACAGCTGTTTCATGCTTTCCTCAAAGGAAAAGAGAAAAACATTCTCAACTTTTTAGGAGAATATTAGACAAAAGTTGTATTTGTAAAGCTTAATGCTCAAACAACAGAAAAGCACACTGGGACATTGTGAAATGAGCCGTTTGTTTCACTGCCAAAATATAAATTCATCTTGTTATTGGCCAAGAAAACACCATAAAATTATGTGTACCTTTCTAAACTTTTATCAAAACATACACACACACATTGGGTTTCCATGTTTTATGGGGACTTTCCGTAGACATAATGATTTTTATGCTGTACAAACTGTATATTCTCTCCCCCTACACTAACCCGACCCCTAAAACTACCCATCACACACACACTAACCCAACCCCTAAAACTACCCATCACACACACACTAACCTACCCCTAAAACTACCCATCACACACACTAACCCAACCCCTAAAACTACCCATCACACACTAACCCAACCCCTAAAACTACCCATCACACACACACTAACCCAACCCCTAAAACTACCCATCACACACACACTAACCCAACCCCTAAAACTACCCATCACACACACACTAACCTACCCCTAAAACTACCCATCACACACACTAACCCAACCCCTAAAACTACCCATCACACACACAATAACCCAACCCCTAAAACTACCAATCACACACGCTAACCCAACCCCTAAAACTACCCATCACACACACTAACACAACCCCTAAAACTACCAATCACACACGCTAACCCAACCCCTAAAACTACCCATCACACACTAACCCAACCCCTAAAACTACCCATCACACACACTAACCCAACCCCTAAAACTACCCATCACACACACACTAACACAACCCCTAAAACTACCCATCACACACACTAACCCAACCCCTAAAACTACCCATCACACACACAATAACCCAACCCCTAAAACTACCAATCACACATGCTAACCAACCCCTAAAACTACCCATCACACACACTAACACAACCCCTAAAACTACCAATCACACACGCTAACCCTACCCCTAAAACTACCCATCACACACTAACCCAACCCCTAAAACTACCCATCACACACACTAACCCAACCCCTAAAACTACCCATCACACACACACTAACACAACCCCTAAAACTACCAATCACACACGCTAACCCAACCCCTAAAACTACCCATCACACACACAATAACCTAACCCCTAAAACTACCCATCACACACACACTAACCTAACCCCTAAAACTACCCATCTCACACACTAACCCAACCCCTAAAACTACCCATCACACACACTAACACAACCCCTAAAACTACCAATCACACACGCTAACCCAACCCCTAAAACTACCCATCACACACTAACCCAACCCCTAAAACTACCCATCACACACACTAACCCAACCCCTAAAACTACCCATCACACACACACTAACACAACCCCTAAAACTACCAATCACACACACTAACCTAACCCCTAAAACTACCCATCACACATACTAACCTAGCCCTAAAACTACCCATCACACACACTAACCCAACCCCTAAAACTACCCATCACACACACAATAACCCAACCCCTAAAACTACCAATCACACACGCTAACCCAACCCCTAAAACTACCCATCACACACACTAACACAACCCCTAAAACTACCAATCACACACGCTAACCCAACCCCTAAAACTACCCATCACACACACTAACACAACCCCTAAAACTACCCATCACACACTAACCCAACCCCTAAAACTACCCATCACACACACACTAACCCAACCCCTAAAACTACCCATCACACACACTAACCCAACCCCTAAAACTACCCATCACACACACTAACCCAACCCCTAAAACTACCAATCACACACGCTAACCCAACCCCTAAAACTACCCATCACACACACTAACCCAACCCCTAAAACTACCCATCACACACACAATAACCCAACCCCTAAAACTACCCATCACACACACTAACCCAACCCCTAAAACTACCCATCA